CTGACTCTACGTCATTCAACACAAAATAAGATATTTCTTCGCTTATTGATTACTTTAAAGCAGAACTATAATAAATACATTCGATCATGCACTTTCTAATTACATGTGTACAATCTAAAAAATTCTGAATTTCTTGGTTCAGTCTTTGAAATATTGGAAAGTTATTTTAAGGATTTTCAATGGCAAAAATAAATATCGAAAATAAATTATTTAAGGAAAATTTTTGATATACTTACATACTTATATCTGATAAGAAAAAAAAATTCAATAATGTAAGTAATTTTATTACATTTACTTGTAATTTAATTTTTGACAATGACGTCATTGTCACAAAATTTCCTTAAATAATATTTAAAAATAAAATTAAAAAATGAGAGCTAGTAATATACAAACTTGTATTTGATAAGAAAAAATACTAAATTTTAAATAATGTAATTCTATTACATTTACTTGTTTTTAAAAAATAAATATAGTCTATTAGGAATTAAGAATAAAAATATTTTAAAATTGTAGTTAAATAAAACGTATTCTAACACAAACAAACCTAAAAAGAATCTTTAAGTATATAAGTAAGATAAAAAAAATGTCGAAAAACTGTTTGCCGTAAATAAGAAAAACCCAGAAGACATGAATTTAATGTACGTCAGAATTCGTTGAAAAATTCACCCCTACCCTCCTTAAACTAAACCTCTTTTTCGAACGTAACTCATAATTGATACAACAATATTTAATAAAAATGAACACGCTACAGCCCCTGATGATTAGATTTCTCTGTATCCTTGGAAACAGGAAATTATGAATTTATATGTGCTTTTAAAACTCAGTAAATTTAAAAATAAGTTATTCCAATATTCACTTGAAGATGAAACGGAACTAATGCTTTTAATTTAATTATATAATTGTTGTGGTAGGATCCACGTAATTTACATAGTGAGTACCGACCATACAAATATGGTTGGTACCGGGAAGACGGGGTGAGGAAGAAGAGATCCAATCCAGAGACTCTGACCGACTGCGACTAAGTCAACCCATTCTACAGGAACGGTCTTCCCAAGAATATATCTGTAATTATTGTGTACACGTTCTTGTGCTTAAGTACATTTTGTGTTGTATTATTATTATTCCATGCTTTATTCAAGTTTCAACAATAATTAAATTTAAAGTTTTTAGCTTCCATTTTTGAAACATGGTTATTTCTGTGTAGTGAAAAACCCATATTTTCAATCAGTTAATTTATAATATTTATGCTCTGTAAATTTACATTGAGCACTGTTTTGTAAAAATAAAAATAAAAAATAACAATAAGAACACCGGATTATATATCTTACTGTTCTTTTCTTTATATATATATATATATATATATATATATATATATATATATATATATATATATACAATTTATGATTAATTTTTTGTGATCGGAAATTTTATTTTATTTATTCCTATTGATTTTCTTTATGTCTTTTAATATTCTAACTCTTAATATGGATGAATATATTTACAAAAACCTAATCTTTTCAAAATAACTTGGTTAACCCTTTATAATATCTGTGGGAAAGTGTTAAACGCAATCATTATTACCCCCAAATACCATCCCTTACACACCTGCGCACGTATATACATGTATGCATGCGTGTTTTGTTTAAAATTTGCTATTTTTATAAGGGATGAGATCACATTATCTAAGCCAGAGTGTTTATAAATATAAATATTATGGATAGAGTAATTAACTCTGCGTAGTGAATCAAAGGTCAGTACTATATTCGGACGTAGCATCATGGGATGAATCAATCTATTATATCAAAATCTTAAATCACCCTTATGATTAGATGCAGTGTGAAACACCAATACAAAATCACATCTAGAAATTTAACATCAAAATTTCCCTGCATATTGTATGTGAACAAGGCAAATAATATAAAAATTTAAATAGTATTAATAGCCGACCATGTATATAATCCTACGTTTTCTTTATTATTAGTTATTGCAGCCGTTTTGGTAATTATACAAATTTAAACTATATTTTAATAAACATATTACAATCACCATCTTAACATCCCATTGTCACGTCAATGTTTAGATTTAGACAATTGTTTTATTTATGTGATTTTATCATGTAGTAATATTGATTTTACACAATGTATTATTAATTTCAGCAAAGAGTCATCCAATGCAATGATAACACCCCTTATAACAATATTATTGATGGATAAACTCTATAAGAATGAACAAAGTAGTTATATATATATATATATATATATATATATATATATATATATATATAACCAAAAAAACAGAAGTGCCATTGTAATTTCTTGACTTGCCAATAAACAATGTTCGGTTTTGCTTTGTCTCGTGTGTTTTTATTGAGCCTCTTCGTGCCAGTAGTGTACTGTTTTATTGAATGTATTCTCATTTTTTATCAAATTATATAAATTAACAGTTTTTGGGAGTTTCTAATATTGTTAAACCAATTTTTGGAATGGCATTTTCCTGTTAGTTCAGATTTGATACACTTAATTTTAATATATGTTTACTTATTTCTCTAAATTAAATTTATTGCTATTATTATTTTGCATATTTTTATTTTTGTTAAGTGTTTAATTCTTTTATCTATAATTATTCATCTGTATTCATATCAGTTTCTCTAACGTTACTTGATTTTGTACAAAAGTTTGTGACTTCATTGTAAGCTACTATTTCAGATGTATTGGATTACATTGTATAAATTAACGTCATTTATCCAATACTAAAATTTCCTCTTGTTGTGGCTGGCATTTCATTGTTTTAAATCCTAAATTATTCATTAATTGCTTATTATCTTTATGATGACATCAGGTACATACACGCCCCTCCACACACACGCACATATATATATATATATATATATATATATATATATATATATATATATATATATATATATATATATAGAGAGAGAGAGAGAGAGAGAGAGAGAGAGAGAGAGAAACAGACAGATAGATAGATAGATAGATAGATAGATAGATAGATAGATAGAAAAAATGAGGGAGCAAGAATCAGACCGAAATAGATTGATAGATATGAAAAAAGACGAAGGTAGATAAACGGATAGCTGTGAATATTATTGAAATGGACAGACTGATGTAAAAACCCTGAGATAGATAGATAGATAGATAGATAGATAGATAGATTATTTTTGATTAACTAAAAAAATAGATATCTAATTGAAGACAATAATCCAAAGTCACACTAGCTGGATAACATTGAGGTTATTATCGATTTTAACGTTTCTTTCCTCTCAGTAAATAAAATATTCAAAGGAAACAATAATAGGATGAATGAATCAATAGAGTAGCCATACAAATATCTTGTATTCGTATTAGTTTCTACGTGAGTACGCATATATATATATATATATATATATATATATATATATATATATATATATATATATATATATATATATATATATAATTACGTATTTATTTATATATCGTTTTATGTTTGCATGTCCAAGCGGAGTTAGTACGAAAAATTTTGAATACTAAATATTATGGTAGCATCAAAGCAAAATAATCAGTGTACATATCAAGTTTTTGTATCAAATAACAATAGGGGAAACATGATAAGTGAACCGAGTTCGTATTCCAACTGTTACTATATTCATCTTTCAATGAATCCCTTAGGAATAGCATCCATAGCTTCCCTCCCAGCACTGGTCTTATAATATCAATTATCATGACAATTTTTTTTGAAGAAGAAGAGTGCTGTCATTTTAGAAATTTATCCTTACATCTGGTCCGGTGTAATCCATTTACGTGTGTTTCAACTGACTTTGCGAGAAGTTTTGCTCCGTTGACAAATTACTCTTTGCCGTAATGTTAAGTACTTTAAATTAGGATTACTTTCCTTCTCTTGGCACTGTACTTAGATAGATTCGAAAGATTGCAGACTTTGCGCAGTGGAAGCGAAATCTGAAAAGTGTCTTTGACATTTACTCAGTACTTTTTTTTTTTTTTACTTTCTAATTAGTCAGCTGTAGCATATAATTTACCAATCGTGACAGTGCAAGGAGAATTGCGAATCCAGTGAAATGAATTCCAAATGATGTAATATTTAAAACTAATCTTTTACTTTGAAGAAAAGAAGTAATTTTGGACAGTCAATAACATTGAGAATAAATGTGGAAAATAAAAACAACAACAACAAAAAAAAAAACGAAGAAATTACCAAGATGCTTAATGACTTTAAACAATTCAACCCCAAAAGATTTTACTGCGCAAAGGACTTACGGCAATCTTAAACCTTCGTGACCAAAAAAAGGTGTGTTTTTCCCTTGACGCCGCTATTACCTTTCCTCTTCGATAATGTTTATTGTTTTAAAAGGCGATTAGATAGTTTATTTAGAAGAATAATTTCATATTTATAAAATTTTAAGAAATAATATAATTGTATTAAAACTAATGTAATATGTATCATTTACCAATTTATAAAGAAATAGATATGATTTTTTTTTTATTCAAAAACATATATTAATTATTCAAAGATGTTAAGCAACTATAAGGAAATCCTTGTTATTTACCATTTTATAAAGTTCGAATTGGCAATGAAACAATTTAATAAATAGTGTGAATTAAACAATCAATTAAATAGTGTTTAGTATTTTTGTTATCTCAAGAACAAAAAAATGTATAAATTCATATTCATATGCTTAGGTTTTATTAAAGATTTGATTATCGCTTTTTAAAACAATGAACATTGAAAAGATTTATGGTAGTTTAAATAATAGCGGCGTCAAAAGAAAAACCGTCTTTTTGACAACTTATAAAGATTGTTAATGATTGCCGAAATTACTTTCTGTTTTTTTTTTTTTGATTTTTTTTTGTTTTTGGTGGGGGCGTGTTTAAACGGAATACATTATTTAAAAATCTCAGTAAACTGTTATTGCGCAAATTGGGCAAACGTTTCGTTCGCATGGGAGGATGAAATGTTTGCTTTCTGGAATAATTCGCATAAAAATGTCTCTTCTTCTTCTTCTTCTTCTTCTTCTTTTTCTTCTTCTTCTTAATATTGTGTATAAAAACATATCAATTTTATCATAAAAAGTATTTTATTATTGTTACATCTAAAGATTACATTGTATTTTTCCCGAATACAAGGCCCAAGAGCCACTCAGATTAGAGCGTTACTAAATGAATTGGGAGAGGAAAATGAGGTTGCATATTATGAAGATATGTAGGATAGATAGTGTTTGAGCTTAGGTATTAAGAGGTCAAGATGCATCAACAATGCAATAGTTTTAGAGAAGAACCTGTTTGAGTGTAGATTCCTCCTCGCAAATGAAATACGAGGGGAATATGAATGAGTCAACTCCGCGGAACCCGTTATGGTAGGTACATTGTCTGAATATCTGTCATGGAAAAGTGTGTGTAGTTTTATAGATAAATGTATATGTGTGTATGTGAGTATGTATGTATTTACATGTACATGCATATGTGTGTATATGTATACATAAATGTATATATATATATGTGTGTGTGTATGTGTGCGTGTTTACGGATATGCATGTATATAAATATATTTGAACTTGTAGTTATATGTTCGTGTATATATATGTTGGTATTTATGGTTGTTATATATGTGCTTGTTTATATATTTATGCTCTTATATACGTATGAGTGTACAAGGCGTGTGTGAGTATGTATATGTGCGTATATATATATATATATATATATATATATATATTATAAATTAATTGATTTAAAATATGGTTATTTTCGCTACACAGTTCCAACCATGTTTCAAAACTGTTCTTTCTTTTTTATTTATATACATATATATATATATATATATATATATATATGTATGTATGTCTTAGTGTTTTTTGAATGAATTATCTATTCTAACTATAATCTACATTTGTTTGATAGTAATTTAAAATTGCTTGTGTACTTAATAAACAGTTGTCTTTGTTGTATTTTAATCTTGTATGGGCACTGAATAGTCATTTGGATAATATTATTAATATAAAAATAATATATATATATATATATATATATATATATATATATATATATAAATAACTAGACTCGTTTCGAAAAACCCTCGAATTTTTGATTTGTTAATCAAATCAATTTCGAGGGAAAAAGGTTTTAAAAAAGAAAGCGCTACAAACATGAACTTCTGCCGACAAAAATCGCACAGATGCAGGTCTGAAGCCCAAAGAAAAAACCCCGATACGAGTAACAACTAACTAACAAAAGAGCTCAATACAACCGTAGAGCAGACCTAGATACACCTTTGAGCCAGACAAACCTACCTAGGTTTCACCTAAACGGATCGTCAGGAAAGCTTTCGTTGACGATCCGTTTAGGTGAAACCTAGGTAGGTTTGTCTGGCTCACTAGGTGTATCTATATATATATATATATATATATATATATATATATATATATATATATATATATATAATAGTACGGGAGAGATTCATGGAAGATTGAAGTTTAAAAGCAGAAAAATCGACTTTTCTCATCGAACGATTCACCGTGGCTGATTCCTGTCTGATTCCTGTCTGAGGACGAATATTTTCTATGAAAATTTATCGGACATTCAGGCCGGTAAATGTTATTAATACTGTTTATCCAATTAATATTTAAATTATTTTAGTATCGGTTAAATTTACATAACCGGTGGTTAGGAATTCAGCCTTTTTCTTTCAATTTTTAATCATTTTTATTGTCATATATGTTGGCTTGGGTTAGAAGTAATTCTTTCAGGAATGGAGATAATTGAAAACCTCGGATCGCACATTTTGATGAAATTATCTTGAGAATTTATCCCGCAGTAAAATAATTTAAATTAAATGTTTATTTTTAGTAGATACCTGTGCTTGAGTAGACGCCACATTTTGTTATTAACAATGTATATTATGTCTACAGGTATGTCTACTTGAGAAAACTTTAAGCATATTTTTTTATTAATTTTTCTCGAGTGGTATGACGGTATATATATATATATATATATATATATATATATATATATATATATATATATATCACTGGCGAACAGCCAGAGGTCAACTGGTAGTCCACTGGTGGCCTGCCAGTGTTTGCTAACATAGGACCACTAGTGTTTGCCATCGGCGGCCAGTTAGCGGGCCACTAACCGCTTGCGTGTAGGGGTGGTACAACTGTAAATATTGAACGCTGTAACATATATACATTTGTTAATATATCAAGGCATTTCAGGTTCGTGACAAACCAAAAAGATATGTACAAATGTTCATATTGTTTTTGGTACATAGTCTGTTGAAAGTAGATATATGCTAAATTTTTCTTTAAAAATTTTTATTAAAAATTTTGAATATATATATATATATATATATATATATATATATATATATATATATTAATCTATATCTTGGCAGAAATATTTCTTTGAAGCATCTTTCATTGAATACGTACGAAAAGGATTTGTTTTCCTAGCATTCTAACATTTTTTGTAGAAGTTAAGGAATATAAAAAAATGTCCATAATTTTTATTGTCCCAAACAATTTCGGCCACTTCTCTAACCATTTTGAAGGGTGTTTTTTCTTTCTCCGGTGTTGTTAGTGTTCCGTCATGTTTTGCCTGCTACGGTGTAAATTATGTTTGTTTTATTTTTTGAAAAAGGAGCGTTCTTTCCGAGCTATCACATACTGCGCGAGAATGGAATTTGCGGGAGCATCTTTACTATTTTTTTTTATTTTAAAAAATTTCAACACTATTAAATAATGTAATGTTCGCATACAAATCTTTGAAACTAGTGCATATATTCGAATTATTTTTTTGAGTGAACCTTTCTGAATATTATCAAAGCTACTCTGTCTGATATCCGGCAGAAAATGTCTAAGTTGCCTGCAACGTCACTAATGATTAAATAAACCTACCCCGCAAAAATTCTTATTCTTTTTTTTTACATTCTCTGACTCGCTTAACGTGAACATATATATATATATATATATATATATATATATATATATATATATATATATATATATATATATATATATATGGAGAGAGAAAAAACTGTCTGTGTTTCTGAGATTAATTACAATATAAAGAAAACTCGAGTAAATGATTCAATTATATTTGACAACTAATTAAAATTATGTCATTTCTGAATTGTATCAATTTAGAGTTCTTAGGAATTGTTTACGTGAACACTTTTTTACGTTTCTGAAATGATCACTTGTTTCATATAAGTTCTGTTAACTTCTTATTTGTCTATGAAACTTACGTTTTTAGACAAGACTTTTCGATAAAGGCTTACGACCAAACAAAGTGTGGATACAATTAACTATATGTGAAACATGTCGTAAACTCAATCTGTCTGTCTGTTTATCTATCTATCTATCTATCTATCTATCTATCTATCTATCTATCTCAGTTCAGTGTCTCTGTCTCTGTCTATATATCTCTTTATCTTTCGCTATCTTTTCATGTCTATTTACCTATCTCACTTCAGCATCTATCTATCTATCTCTTTCTGTTCATATATTTTATCGCCATCTGTTCACACACACACACACACACACACACACATATATATATATATATATATATATATATATATATATATATATATATATATAACAACCTAATCATACCTATCTAGCTATGTTAGATATCAGTTGAGGAAAGACCTTTGGCCTTTCTTCTGCTGCACCAGTGTGTGAGCGGAAATCGGAACTGGTGATAGCATAAACGGTAAATACATCTGGTGTTTTGAATAAACAAGGCGCACAGGTGTCCTGAGTGGAGGAAATGCGTGCTTGCGTGAACGCATGCCAAAAGTCATGTGGCCACACGAAGTTGCGTAGGCGTCATACCGAAAGAAAGCGTAGCCACATAAAGTTACGAAGGTGTCCAAAAGTTATATAACATCTCCGATTCTTGATCTTGACAAAGAGGCTGGCAAGAGGTTCACAGAAGGTTTGTCTCCGCCAGTTCCTATGTGCTAGAACAATAAAGATATTTATATATTTTTATAAGTCTCCATCGCCTGGCAGCAATATATTACATCTATCTATCTATCTATCTATCTATCTACCTATCTATCTATCTATCCCAGTCTGCCCATGTTCCTTCTTTCTATCTATCACAGCCTGTCCAAGTTCGTTCTTTCTTTCTTTCTTTCTTTCTTTCTTTCTTTCTTTCTTTCCCAGTCTGCCCATGTTCTTTCTTTCTATCACAGTCTGTCCATGTTCTTTCTATCTATCTATCTATCTATCTATCTATCTATCTATCTATCTATCTATCTATCTATCTCAGTTCAGTATATGTCTATCTATCTATATGTCTATATATCAATTATTTTTGACTAAAGGAGAAAATTTAGATTAAAAAACAAAATAATTCCTTTCTGCTCCATTTTATTCACGCAAGATATATATATTATGAAATCAAGTCCGTCAATCATTTTAAAATATTTTATTTTTATACATTCTTTTTATAGATACAAATATTTCAGTAAATGCTCTGTTTATAATAAACAGTATTAAACAACATTTACCGGCCTGAATGTCCGAGAAATTTTCATAGAAAATATTCGTCCTCAGGCCGGTAAATGTTGTTTAATACTGTTTATTGTAAACAGAGCATTTACTTAAATATTTGTATCGATAAAAAGAATGTATAAACATAAAATGTCTTAATATATATATATATATATATATATATATATATATATTAACAAGTTTTTTAATGTTGTAGTGTTAATTTCGTTGTTGGCTGCAGGGTCATGTAATTTAATAATTGTGTATTTAGGCAGCAAGTACCGTTTTATACAAGTTTCATTAAAAGTAGACTCACAATGTAGTGCGGTTAAGCTTTTATTTAATTTTTCTTGTGTTTGCATAAATGCTTACTTTTCTGGGTAATGAGTCTCCGAATGTTCTCTATATACGAGCGCTTTCGGCTATTCTTTTAGCCATTATAAATACGTTTTATTGTTAACTGAATGTGTACATTTTTATGTATCTATGGGATTTTTTCCAAAACACAGTCAGCACATTCTGACCGTGTTCCTAGTTTATGTTATATATAGGATGTAAGAGTTATGTAATGGATCGCGGCTCGAAATTAGCACATGATTTCGTTGCATTCTCTTACGTACAAATGCCATAGGAAAATGTATGAAACCATCTCTTCTCTCCCTAGCTATGGGTTAAATAGTAGGATTTTTAGACATGTTTAACAACCAATCTAGGACAACACTGAATTTAGAACTTGAATAGGGTTTGTTTGGGGTGTTCCTTTCCTATTCCTGAAAAGAGGTATTGGCACTCACTACAATAACCAAATCAGATGTGCAGTTAGCCTCATTTTTTTTTATTTCTTCGAGCTGAAAATGCCACAAACGCTGATTGCAATTTTTTTATTGAAAACGTGAAACATACTACATTGAGTCAATTGCTTCGTCCACCGCGAGGAAAGTTGGCTCTCTGTGCCGCGCCAGGAAATTTTTCTCCCCGGAATCCATACTTCAAATATACAAATCAACCATTCGCCCTTGCATGGAGTATTACTGCCATATATGGTCTGGGGCACCTTCTGTTTACCTCGGAGTTCTTGACAAGATCCAGAGGCAGATATGTAATATAATTGGACCTTATCTGGCATCTCGTCTACAGTTGCTCTCTCACAGACGCGCCGTCGCCTCTCTCTGTCTTTTCTACAAATACTTTCATGGTAGTTGCTCCGATGAGCTGCTTTCACTGGTTCCCAGACTCCATGAATTGAAGCGCCCTACGAGGCTGGCATCCCGTTCTCACCCTTACACTGTAGAAACGTTTAAATGTAGCCGTCTCTTCTACTCCAATAGCTTCATACCTCGCACCTCTCGTCTGTGGAACACCCTTTTCTATTACTGTTTCCCTGAGAGCTATAATCTCCAACTATTCAAATGTAATGTCAATCGACACCTTCAGTTATCTTGATCTACCCACTATCCTTCTCGTCATCCTTTCTTCTATCACTCGTATCTGCTCTTGCTCCAAATCTTCTGCAACCCCCTGCATCCTAGTGGCTTCACGCCTTGCTCGGGGCGTAATGCTTAAAAAAATATATATATGGTTTTAGCTTTGGATTTATATCTTTCTTTCTTTTATTTTTATCGTTATTCTTTTTAAATATCACACATTGCATCAGCATTTGTCTTTTTTCATGAAAATGGCTATGTTCTACGATCCTGGGTGTAAATTTTACCAGATTTGTCTCTTTATTAATTTGTTATAAGTGAAATACGATCAAAACAAGCCTAATACTGTTAATCTATCTATCTATCTATCTATCTATTAGTTACTGCCGCGGACTTCCTAAAAAAAAATAAAAACGAAAAACGCAATTTAAATATCGTCTTTGAAGTTCCATTTTCGCTTAATTCGAAAGATAATATCCTAAAGCAAATCTGTATTAAAAGAAATATTAATTTCCGTATGTAAATAAAGTTTTTAACCATTTTTAAAACATTAGCACATTCTCTAGTCACTCATGGACTCTTGAAACCGTTGTCATAGGCAAAAAATGTAAACACCAATTCCAAAAATCTCTTTAAAATCCAATATTTATCCAAGAGATGTGTTTCGAAGTCACTTATTAGATTTAAGATTTATTTATCAAGATTTTCTGAACATAATGCTCACTTCTTGCTTAAAACAGATAGAAAATGGCGCTTATTTATGCACTGTCACCTGTGAGGTAAGAAGTCAAGAACTGTAAATATCTCTTTCAATACTCCGTCATAGGTATGACGATAAACTACATCCGGCAGCAATGGTTCTGACCGGAGGTTCTAAAGAGAGTGGAACCACCTGAATTGCTGTTGTTCCCAGGTCCATCCTGAACCGGGGTCGTAACATCTATTAGGGTCACAGCTATGGGAAAACAATTAACCTCCAAACTGAAATCGCATTGGTGATATTTAAAAATGATATGTGTGTGTCAAAATATTTGATGTTAATACTTTTTACATTACTTTCATAGAATTTTGTCATGCCAAAATTGTTCTTTTTAAATTTTTTGTAAGAATTCGAAAATTGTTAATTGTTTGATACTGATTTTTAAGGCGGTTATACATTTTACTGTTCGGAAAATCAAGAAATAACTCCATCTTGAATTCATCAAGGTAGGAAAAGTGCCCACCAAAACATAATTTTCCTACCATCAAGTTTCGGCGAAAATGTTATAAGATTTTATTAAACCCACTTGACGCAACTTTTGTCTTATTTTTTTCATGAATACTCGTTTCTTTTAATCTCATTTCATTTTTCATTACTTAAAATCGTTTCCTTTTTTCCACGCTAGCAATCATTATTTAAACATTTCCCAAATCTTCTGTTTTTCTGTCTATATCTATAAGATGAGGTATTATGTGTATTATACAATATTTACATTATTCGGACTGTTATCTTCATCCTCATTGCCATATTCATAACGTTTCGGCCTTTGTGCTCGCCCGCCTTTTTCAGGTGATTGAAAGTGACCCAGTGGTTATAAAAACGTTAGTTAGATCCAGTGACTAGACCCAAAGAGTTGTGAGTTCAATACAAGGTCACAGCAGTGGTGAAACAATAAATTTGGAGAGCTGAGTTAAATGGAAGAGGCATGGAAGGTGGAACTAGAATAACCTCGGTGGATGAAATAAAGGGTTCGATTCGAAATTCCCATCACCTGAAGAAGGCCGGAGCGTACAACGGCCGAAATGTTGTGGATATCGCAATGAAGATGGGGTAACAGTCCGAATAATGTCAATTTTGTTTTTCTTTCATTAAATCTCTTATTTCTTCTCATTTCTATTTAATATAAGATTGTTTTTACTTGTTTATCACGGTGGCCATATCGAATTTATCAAAGCAGGAAACGTGCCCCTCGAAACATAATTTACCAATCACAAAAAATGTTATAAGGTTTTATAAAAACTGTTGGTACAAATTAGCCAAAATCATACCGATTAGAATTCTGGGTGAGTGTGAAATAAATAGAAATATGCGAGGCAAAATAACTTAACAAACAATTTATTCAAAGCAATGAAATTATAATGTAAATTTATTCTCTTTTGTTTACGTTTTTTTTCCAAGCAAGGTTTATAGAGTTTTGGTTATTCGAAATTATTTACTTTTTCCGCAACGATTTAAAGCTCCCAAAGAAATTGAATTACAGTGTAACCCGGATATAAGAGAGTTGTTGGGACCGGAGAAGAATTCTCTTATATCCGGGTTTCTCTTATATCCGGGTTTGGCCTATTTTGTTTAGGTAAGTATGGGAACACTTTGGGACCAGAGAAAATCTCTCTTATATCTGGGTTTCTCTTATGTCCGGGTCTCTTATATCCGGGTTACACTGTATACATGATTACGTTTTTCCTTATTTTTATTAGTAGATATTTTATTCTATCTGCCTGAATAAAGGGTAGAACATCTCCAACAGGCAGATTTGTCTTCTTTTACACTCATTTAAAGCATTCAAAAACTACCCCCACTTTCTCATGGTAATGTTTTATTTATTTTTTTTTTTTTTTTAGGCGCGGAAGACTTTCTGGATTTTTATGTTTACGTCTGTCGTTTAAAAGAAAACGTTTCCTTGAGTAGATTTTGAATTCTTTAAAAGCCGTAACAATTTAAAACTGTATTTTAATAAATTTAATTATTAATGGTATAGTTTAGTTTTATGGAAGTTATTTACAGAAGTTCATTCATTCGAGAAATAGTAAGAGCTGTTTCACCTCTGTACCTGTGGCTTGAAAACAATATGGACGATCGTATTAACTTCTCAATTTCTCATTCACTAATTTCCCACAAACTAGCTCTTTCGATATTAAAACGGCCCACAAAGTTACGCAACGTTTTCAATATCGAATGAGTGATTTCAACAATTGCAAATGCGAAGAAAAATTAAGGGCGAAAATGTTGATACATAAAAATATTCTTATGTTTAACGTTCTTTTTTATAGATACAAGTATTTAAGTAAATCCTCTGTTTATAATAAACAGTATTAAATAACATTTACCGGCCTGAATGTCCGAGAAATTTTCAGGCCGGTAAATGTTATTTAATACTGTTTATTATAAACAGAGCATTTACTTAAATACTTGTATCTATAAAAAAGAACGTTAAACATAAAAATCTCTTTAATAAATAAAATTGTCGGACTTTGTCCATTTCTTAATATATAAAAATATTCATTGAACACTTAAAACGCTAACCCTAAAACTATATATATATATATATATATATATATATATATATATATATATATATATATATATATATATATATATATATATACGGACTATTGTCCTCCTTTTGTCGCCATATTTATTATAACGTTTCGACCGTTGTACGAACCGGCCTTCTTCATGTGGTTGGACTGTTGAACTGAACCTTTATTTCGCTCACTGGGGTAGACTGTTCTAGTTCCACGCGCCATGTTTAATGGATGTCAGTTATCAGTTATCTCCTGTTAATTCCCCTCTCCAAGTTCTCCACTGCTTTAACCGGGTATTGAACTCACAGTCTTTGGGTCCTCTCACTGGATCTAACTAACGCCTTTATCTACTGTGCCATGTGTCCTTGAAGACACATGACACTAGATGACATAGCACGTGGAACTAGAACAGCCTACCCCAGTGAGCGAAATAAAGGATTCAGTTCGACTTCCCAAACATCTAAAAAAGGCCGGAGCTTACAACGGCCGAAATGTTGTAATAAATATCGCGACAAATATGTGGGCAATAGTCCGAATAATGTAAATAGTGTACATAATACCTCATCTCAGAAATATAGACAGATACTAAATTATATATATATATATATATATATATATATATATATATTAAAGACATTTTTATGTTTAACATTCTTTTTATAGATACAAGTATTTAATTAAATGCTCTGTTTTATAATAAACAGTATTAAGTAACATTTACCGGCCTGAATGTCCGAGAAATTTTCATAGAAAATATTCGTCCTTTGACAGGTTATTTTCTATGAAAATTCTATTAAATACTTGTATCTATAAAAAGAATGTTAAACATAAAAATGTCTTTAATAAATTGTCGGACTTTGTCCAATTCTTAATGTGTATATATATATATATATATTTCAATCATCCATGAATCTCTCACGTATATTCATATCTGCTCATGGCGTATTCAATGTACACAAATGACGTCACACATTATGAAATGGACAAAGTCCGACAATTATTTCAATTATTTAATTTTCAATGGTCAAGTCTGCTTTCGTTTGTTTGTTTGTTTAATAAGATAGTACAAGCGGATGCACAAATCACCGTTATTATTTTTTATCTCCCTTTGGTAAATAAAGTCATAAAAAAGTCAGTTTACGAACAAGTAACAAACTTTTACTAATAAATTTTAGTACGCTTTTGAATATTTACTGAAGAAGATGGGCGGTGGGAAATTGTTTCCATCTGAAAATGGGCGATGACGCAAAAAAATGTTTGGGATCCTCTGCATTTGGCAGTGATGGACGTTTTGATAAAATCCATCGAAATAATCCAATGACAAGGAAATGCTCACGTGCCCCTTTTCTTCAATTAAACCGTTTGATAAGTGTCGTTTTTTTTTTGTTTTTTTTTTTTTTTTTGGTATTTGAGAGGCTGGTTGTTCGTTTCAACGAATTACTTCGCATGTTGGGCAAGACACGTGGATATTGGCAAGCGTATTAAAATGACACCGAAAAACTTATTCTGGATGAAAATAATCGCAACTTCGTTTACATCCAATAATATAGAATTTTTTTTTCTTTTTGAATAAATTTATTCGTTGTTTAGAGTGTGAGATTAATAAAAACCGTTTCCTTATTAAAAAAAAAAAAAAGAAAAAAATTCTTGTTTATGTATCGCTTGGTTTCATTTGACTTGATTTGAAAACTTAGGAAAACTTACAGGCCTATGGCAATAAAGGGGTCTGGAATCATAGCATAAAAGTATGTAAGATTCTTCTTCTTCTTCTTCTTCTTCTTCCCGCGTTGTTTCAAGGTATGACTCTCCACAACTTCCTATCTCGTGTTGCTCTTAATAGTTTCTCCTACCTCATTAAGTGTCTTAATAGTTTCCTCTATCTCATTATATATCTTAATAGTTTCTCCTTTCTTAATATATGTCTTAATAATTTCTCCTACATCATTATGCGTCTTAATAGTTTCTCCTAACTCATTATGCGTCTTAATAATTTCTCATACCTCAGAATGTGTCTTAATAATTTCTCCTGCCTCATTATGCGTCTTAATAGTTTCTCCAAATCATTATGCGTCTTAATAGTTTCTCCTACCTCAGA